TACGGGGCATTCAAATATTCAAGATCATATCCTAAGGGAAAAAGGTCCCCCACACAAAGTTAGACAAGCCACTTACCTCGAACCGACTCAATATCAACTAGAAATCACGCTCTCGCCACGAGTATCCGACTCCAAATGGCTCAAATCTATTCAATTCAATTACACATTGTAAATAACATCGCAAACACCTGGTTTTGCTAATAAATTCAAAGCTACAGCGTAAAATTAGGTGAAATGACCAAAATGCCCTCCAGGACAACGCCCCGGAATCGAATAATTTTCACATTTTCAGAACTTTCGTACTCTCACGAGTCTAACTATATAAAAATCTCCCAAATCGGAGGTCAAATGCTCACTCAAAACTCCATAATTTAGCCAATGAAGTTTTACCCCAAATTATCCAATTTTGATCCTAAATTCGAATTCCAATGATACATTTAACTATATAATGATAAAATATAACTAGAAGGGATTAAGGAAACGTTACCCAGTAGTCTTCTCTTCAAAACCCACTCAAAATCGCCCTTACCCGAGTTCTCAATTGATTTTTGTAACTTATGAACTCAAACCCTCAAAATTTCTATTTCTGCCCAGGGATTTCCGCTTCTGCGGACAAGGGACCGCATCTGCGGTCCCGCTTATGCGGAACAAATGCCGCTTCTGCGGCAATTAACTAAAATCCAGGGGTTCCACTTCTGCGGTCTTAAACCGCACCTGCGGTAGCCGCTTCTGCGAAACACTTACCGCTTCTGCGGTTTCTCGCCAATGACCCAGGGCCGCATCTGCGACTTATACCTCGCAGGTGCGTAACCGCTTCTGCGGTCAAACTTCGCACCTGTGGAAACTGAAGGGAGCCCAAATTCCGCTCCTGCGATGGGATGGCCGCTTATGCGGCTCCGCTTCTACGGTTCCCAAGCCGCAGAAGCGAAAATACCAGAAGAGAGAAAAAAACCAGCTGCTGCAACACTTCAAAAATTCTTCCGTTAACCACCCGAAATCATCCCGAGGCCCCCGGGACCTCAATCAAAAGCACCAATACCACTTAATACCTTATTCAAACTTGCACCAATCCTTAAAACACCTAAAACAACACCGGAAACCCGATTAAATCAAAGATTCAATCCTAAGAACTACAAGTTTCCTCCAAATACGCTTTCGATCAAAAACCTAACCAAAATACGTCCGAATGACCTGAAATTTTGCACACACATCCCAAATGACATGAAGGAGCTACTGCAACTTCCGGAATTCCAATCTGACCCTCGGATCAAAAACTCACTATCGGACCGGAAACTTCAAAATTTAAACTTCGGCATTTCAAGCCTAAATGAGCTACGAGCTCCCAAAATACATTCCGAACACGCTTCCAACCCGGAAATCACCTAACGGAGCTAACGGAACCATCGGATTTCCATTCCGAGGTTGTCTTCATACTGTTTCGACTACGGACCACTTTTCAACACTTAAGCTCTCATTTAGGGACTAAGTGTCCCAAAACTTTCCAAAACTCAACACCGAACGTCCTGGCAAACCAAAATAGCAGAAATGAACTTAGGGGAAGCAGTTAATGGGGGATCGGGGCGTAATTTCCAAAAATGACCGGCCGGGTCATTACAAACAGCGCCAAAATCTGATCACGCCCAACTATGTCTTCTAAAAGACAAAGCGGTCGTTGCAAATATAATCCGGTTTTAGGTCCGGAGTCGAATCCTCAGGGAACTAACCTATCTATTACAACTCTTGGCAATGCTATTATCAACTCAAACAATTTTCAAATGCAAGATTTTTATCAATAAATATTGTGTTTTTGTTTAACTAATTCAAATGATATTAAAATTAACAATATGCTAAATCAAAGATAATTCAATGGTAAAAAGGTCTAGTGCATTGATTTCCCTAATTACTAGTTTAAGTCTTAACTCTTTTGCTGTAATCTCGCCGTAATACTCTATGTGGATTATGAGCTATGGGTTATCGTAATTATCTCTCGATCAACTACGATAATTTACTAGAGCATTCTCTCGGACTACTCTAGCTGACAATTTGTGCAGCTCTGACTTATCCCACCAAAGTTTCGTTATCTCTAACCCCACTTTTAAGTTCAAGTAATGAATCTCTTCAATTACCCAAAAGTGGTGTTGTTCAACAGCAGTCTAACCTAGTATTCTTTCTCAAGCAACACAAGGCAATTAGACACGATTAATCAAGGGCCCATTCAATTAATCACCATACAAAACGTAGTTGAACAATCATATAATAAATCCGGCTCGATTATAACAAAGTTGAGTCAAAACTCCATCCAACAATTGGTTCCATCAACCCTAGATCAAATGTTTAGCTACTCATAACAAAGCAAGATAAAACTACTAAATTATTCATAATGTGTAATTGCAATAATAAAGAGAAGATAGAAAAACTCTAATCTTTGGTCGTTCTTCTCACACTTGTTCTTGCCTCTGAGTGAAAACACTGTTCAAAACCCGAAAAATACGCCAGTATATTATGCTGGAGTTCCAGCATACTGGAGTTCCAAGATAGGTACAGCATAAGTACACTAGAACTCCAGCATAATATACTGGAGTTCCAGCAAGTATACCGGTCCAGTATAATATGCTGGAAGTTCATACACAAGTGCTCGAATCTCCAGTATATTATGCTGGAACTTTCCGTGTGTTGGAGTTCCAGCATAATATGCTGGAAGTTCATACACAGGTGCACTGAACTCCAGTATATTATGCTGGACCGGTCTCTGTTGCAGCAAAATAGTGGCTATTTTTCATTGACTTGGTAAACGCTGGTTATTTTTGAATGACCAGTCCGAAAACTAGCTAGACCGTGCTATTTTTACTAAATAAAGGGTATGGGTTTACGTGAACCGATACTCCTTTCTTTAAATCATGTATAACAATGTTTTTTTTAAAAAAATTGCTTAAATACATGTATATGCACCCATGCTTAAAGACTACTATAGTGTAATAATAATTGGGTGCACCTTTACAAGTGAAATTGCCGGTACAAATCCTACTTCTTACGGTCTTATTTTTGGCACGGATTATAT